GAGAGGGGGGGGGGGGGAATAATATTATTATTACACTACCATTATTTTGGCTTTTAAATGACAGCATCAAGCAGCATTATGAGACTGTATGAAAGTGACTAGTGCTAATAGAAGTGTCTTCACCTTTCCAGAGCACGCGAGCAGTGCTGAGGGGCAGCACTTTGGGTACCAGCACCCTCAAAATGACAAATTAAACCACAGAAACCAGTACTCTTAGTGATTTTCTCTAACTACATTCATGCTGGCAAATTTGTGCAAACTGTGATCATTCAGTTGTAGTCTGGAGCCCTGTGGAGTAGGGAGCTGACATGAATGATCCAAAAGTCCAAAACGCTACAAGGATTAAGGCCTGTTCACACCAAGGATGATAACTATAAAGATAAGGATAAAGATAAAGATACAGTTCTAAAAATTGTTCTCAATATTAAAGAATAGCAGAGTCCACATCACAGCTATAACGATAAAGGCACAGAGAAACGATATCGTTGGAATCACTTTCAGAACAATTTTCTTCCAGCTGATGAACGATAAAAACATTGACACCCAATCAGAATCAATCCTGCTATAATGAGCTTGATAATTTAAAGCAGCAGATGAGCATGCGCTTAGAATAGACGATATCGTCAGCTGGTGTGGACACTAGTTATCTTTATAGTTAACGTTCTTGGTGTGAACGGGCCTTTACATGTTAACAGGTCAATATACCACCATTCAAACGTTTGGGGTTGGAAAGTTTTTTGTGTGTGATGTTTTTGAAAACTATATTAGTCTCTCCAATGCTGCATTTATTTAATCAAAAATGCAGTAATAACAGTTCTATTGTGAAATATAATGACACTGTATTCTATTTAAATTTATTTAAACATTATTTATTACTGTGATGCCAAAGCTGAATTTTCAGCAGCAATTACTTCAGTCTTCAGTGTCCTATGATCCTTCAGAAACCATTCTAATATGCTGATTTGGTGCTCAACAAACATTTATTATGATCATTATTTTTTCAGAATTCTTTGATAAATAGAAAATTCAAAAGAGCAGCATTTATTTGAAAAATAAATTATTTGTAAAATTATAAATGTCTTTGCTGTCAGTTTTGATCAAATTAAAGTGTTCTTGTTGAATAAGTTATTTAAGAAATATATATATATATATATATACTGACTACAAACCTTTGAACTGTAGTGTACATGTTAAACTAAATTGATATACTGTAAGTAGACAGCAGGAATGTGTAAAAAAAATATATATATATATATATATTTTTTTTTTGGTTGACTGGTAGGCAAGTCGGTATGTAGGTATTAAGTAGGAAGGAAGGATGGAAGAGTGAAAGAACAAGGAAGCAAAAGAAAGAGTGAACGAAAGAGTAAAAATGGATCAAGAAAATGTGTGACCCTGGAGCACAAAACCAGTCTTAAGTCGCTGGGATATATTTTTAGCAATAGCCAAAAAAAACATATGGGTCAAAATTATCGATTTTTCTTTTATGCCAAATATCATTAGGATATTAAGTAAAGATCATGCTCCATGAAGATATTTTGTAAATTTCCTACCGTAAATATATCAAAACTTAATTTTTGATTAATAATATGCATTGCTAAGAACTTCATTTGGACAACTTTAAAGGCAATTTTCCCAGTATTTTGATTTTTTTTGCACCCTCCGATTTCAGATTTTCAAATAGTTGTATCTCGGCCAAATATTGTCCTATCCTAACAAACCATACATCAATGGAAAGCTTATTTATTCAGCTTTCAGATGATGTATAAATCTCAATTTCAAAAAATTGGCCCCTATTAATTTACAATAGCAGCCTTTTTACAGCATTAGCCAAGAACAGCCTCAAATTCCCTCAACTTTATGGGAATTTCACAAACATGATTTCATTTTATACATCTTGTGTCCAGCAACACACATTAAAAGAACTTTACAGTAGAGAGGTAACTGACCACAAACTTTGCTATGGAGCGAACTTGGATCAGGATTGTTCTCAAACGTGAGAAGGAAACTTGGATTTGTCATTACAGAATGCTGTGAGCTTAGTTGCATACAAAGATAAAGGTGAGATACCTGGAGATATGGGAGTTCTTGGTCTTGGTTGTGGATTTGCCGGACTGAATGCTGTTTCGTTCACTGGGTGGGCTTTGATGGCTGTCTGACTTGGGTCTGTAAAGAGAAACTTTTTTGGTTACACATGCCATAAAGCAGAAACTCAGAAGTTTCTCACATTCTTATTGGTGACTAACGTACTTGTTCTTTTTGCTGTTGGGTTTCTTGGTGATGGCTGGGGTGATTTCTTTCTCTCGGTCCTTCTTCTCTTTGTCAGGCTGCTCCTTCTCACTCTTGTCCTTGTCCGTGTGTTCGCTGTCATGTGGATTTCCATCAGGACGCTCCCCCTCGGCTCGATCTTTCTCAGGCCTCTCAGGCTTTTCCTTCTTCTCTTTCTTTGGGGGAGGAGGAATGGCGTACTGCTGTGCCACCTGCTGTGCCACCAGCTGGGAGTTTATCCGGGGTTTCCTGTGGGGCCGAACAGAGTTGATAGTCAGTGCCAGAGCAGCACTAACTCCGCTGAAACCAGTAAAGTAAACTCTTCACTTAACTGCTGAGCCTGGAGGTTGCAAAGTACAAGTACAAGTTCAATATCTTAAGCCTGACGTCATGTAATGTAATGTATCCTTTTCAAATGAATGTTCTGGGTTCAGCAAAACACTGCATTTACAGTAATGCAGAAATCTATGGTGAAATGAACTCAACCAGGATATATATGTTAAAATACATAATTTTCTGAAAGGATAACTGTCACTTCAAATTATGCATGCCAACAGAAGACTAGTGTGATCAAAATATTTATTTAATTTAATAAACCACCAAACTTACAGAATTGTTTTACGTTTAACCAGAAGTTCATTAATCTACAACAGATGAATAATCACTAAAAAACTGGAAAATGTTAGACAACTACAGCTCAAACACCACACATTTTTGTTTTTGAAAAAATACCAGATGACTTGAGGTCACTTCAAATTATGCATGCCAACAGAAGACTAGTGTGATCAAAATATTTATTTATTTAATTTAATAAACCACCAAACTTACAGAATTGTTTTACGTTTAACCAGAAGTTCATTAATCTACAACAGATGAATAATCACTAAAAAACTGGAAAATGTTAGACAACTACAGCTCAAACACCACACATTTTTGTTTTTGAAAAAATACCAGATGACTTGACATACTACTCATGTAGCAAAATCTTTGTCAGTTTCACAGCAAAGTTTGCTACTAGTGGTTAAGGCTTCATTCAAATGAACTCTAATTTCTAGTATGAGGAATTGTTATATCAAGCACCTCTCACTGGAATAATGTACAGTACTAAAACACGTCTGCTCTTCATCGCATATCTGCACGTAATCCACCTCAGCCAGTGTTTACACAAAACCATTTAAAGCACAGATTCTGTGGATTGTTGTGAAGACATTAAGAAATACCTAGCCAGATAAAGCCCTCCGCAGGCATTTCAGTGACTAAAACCCTTTCACTGGTCTCCCGAATGTGATGACGGCCCCTCGCCAGCTGTGTGGGTCTGCTGAATGTGTAATCTCATTACTCTACTCCTTTAATAAATGACAGTGAGGATCATAGGGTGGGACATTTGCAGCATGTCACTGTCACAGTGACTAATCAGATTAGCTAGAAGGTTTGGCCTCATTTGCCACAAACCAGATAGAAAGCGGTTTTCAATCCAACAGTCCTCTGTGCGAGTTTTGATGGGGCTTGTTTGTTTCAGAGTGGGAAAAGTTTACTCAAATGGTCAAAAACTTTATTATTATTATCTTTTTACACTCACTGTCCAAAAAAAGCCATAAAAAGTCAATACGACTTGATCTCAAGTATTATGAAAGCAATATGATAGCTTTGTGTGAGGAAAAGACCCAACTATAAGCTATTTACTGAAATCATATTTAAATCAGGTATTTACTTCCCCTCAGATTTCCTTTATGCATTTGAAAGTTCAAACTTGTCGATTTCATGAAATATTTTTTAATAAAACATTGTTTAGAGCAGTGCTTTTCAATGAAATTCTGAGCGCAAATTGACCCTTTGCCATGCATGAGCTTGATTGACAGGCGATCAGATCGGTTCACGTGCTGCTTGAATGGAGGCGCTACAGCGATCTGTCACAACACATTAAAGAGGCACAAAATGGTATTTATTGTTTGAATTTCTTTAAAAAAAAAAAATTACAAAACTTGAAAGTGGACACTTTGTTTCATACCAAAAGTAACCTGCTCTGTCTTGTCAGTCGGCGTGTTGTCGGTTTCCTCTTTGCTCCGCAATTTATTTTTCACTGCGTGAGAACATGACGTGTGGCGTGAGAGCGCCATGGCTTGTCGGACGGAGCAACAGTAACTAAGGGGGCGGGTCTTTGTGAAGGGTCAACCGTTTCACCAAGTTGGTTTTTTTCAGTGTGAGAACTTTATTTATAAAAAGCACAAACCTGAAACAAAAGGTGAGAAGAAACGGCACAATATTCATCTATTCTCATTTGCACCATAAATACACCAGGATTAAACATTACCATGTACAAAGTGATTTATAAAAATGAAAATTTATTTCTTTACTAATGCATAGTATCCATGTAGTTGAGGAAACCTTTCTTGCGCTTCTGTGCTCACGCACACATTCTGTAATGGTGGAAAGACAGGCAGCGGTTGTGCGCTGGAGTCTCTCTCCTCAGTGCGGTGCTGAGTTAATTAAAAGCCGAGGGGCTGTGTCTGAGATCTGAGGCAGAGCACCACACAGCCCGAGCCAGCTCACGTTCCTCAAGCATAATGGCCAACATCTGGCAGCAGCTGGGGGTAACAGAGGATTTCGACTGATCATGGGGGAAGAGCCAAAGCCCACAAGTGTTTTGCTTTGTCTAAACATTTAGACTTGGGAGTCCTCTTCACCTCAATATTTCAGATCAATCGCAGTTGTGAATGTTTAGCTGTTTAGATTGTGGTTAGATTTCCAAAACTTATGAATGAAAGATTAAGGCCAGACACATGCTCTATGTAAGCGCACAAACATGCTTTGCCAATGCATTGCACTGTGTTGTTGTATGGACTTAACCACTTAAAATAAGTCTGAGAACGCAACAATTGTGTTTTGGAAAGCAATGGCAAAGGAAAATGAGTCTGCACAGCCTGTCGCAACAAGTTGCCACTAGAATCATGTCATGTTGTGCCTGGTTAGGAGTGTAAGTGGTCACAGAATAAAAAATAAGTCAGAATACAGTTGAAGTACTGATAGAAGCAGCTCTAGTGATCTCAAGACACATTGGTCCTGTTGATGCCCTTCTACTCAAAACCAATAGATAACCCAGCTGTCTACTGGAGGTTTTAAGAAAACCTGTGGCCCTTAGATAGTGATGGTTCTTTCACTCCCTATGACTGATGGGATACAGCCGCCTTTCTCGCCGGAGACCGGCCAACGAGAAGCCAATCAATCCCTCATAATGGGGAATCATGTTCAAGAGGCCAGCACAACTACAATCAATACAACCTCTGCGAGGAATCTAGATGAGCTTCAGGGCCCGCTGGCAAAAGATACTGGAGAGCATCTTTTAGAGCATGTGGGAATAGTATGTGTTGGGTCTGAGCTGGTCAAGGCAAGAAAAACAAAGATCAGGAACTAACACACTGCAGAATAACAGAGGAAAAGTAAACAATTTAACAAGTGGAAATATACAAAGTTAAATTTACTTTATTCAGGCAACATTTCCAGTCCAGAACATGAAAAAACATCATGCCATGAGAGGTAATAGAGGATTAAGCCACGAGAGAACATGCATTAACCCCCATGGTTAGTCTGAAATACCATGATAAAAATTACTGTAATGCATAGCTTATCATGGCTTATTGGCTTCATTAATGGTAAAAAGAGCGATATTATATTAATATAAAGTAATTATTGAAATTGTATTATATTAATAATAATTGTTGTTGTTATTTTTTTCACACAACTTTCAAAGTAATCTTCTAGTCTTAAAATACTTCTACATAATTTATTTTAAATTAATATTTAAGAAATTTGAAATTATTTGAAAATTGATTAAAAATAAATGTGCTAAATAAACATACTTATACTTTAGATGACAAAGTATTTTTCACAAATAAATAAATATTTAATAAAAATATCATTCAAAAGTAAGTAAACACTGTAACCAACAGTGCACTTAGTATTCTGGGAAGTTTGTGTGCATTAGGGCGGTCAAAAAAAAAATCAGAATTTCGAATATTCATCGAATTTAAAATAAAAATCCACATTCGAATGCAAAAACATTGCATTCAAATTTTAGGCGTGCGTTAAGGAGGCAGCCTTATCAGTGGCGCATAAGATGCGATGACGATGTGTTTTTAAACGAAAAATGTACTCTGTGTGGTTGGTTTTCGGCCCTTTGTATTAATCTATGCATACATACATGATGCTGTTTTGTTTATAGTTGTTTAAGCAACTTAATGAATTATAATTGGTTTATAAACATTATGCACTTTTTTTTCACGGATAGTCATGTTATCTTATGCTTGATGCGCTCTCTTGTGGCCTCAGGAGAGAAGCCAAAAGCTTTTCTTTACCCTAACTGAAATTATGCATTTTAAATTCAAATATAATTCGAATTTTTATCATATTTAAGCACAAAATTTGAATTTAGTTTTTCAGCCATTCTGACAGCCTAGTGTGCATTAATTATATTTTTTCAAATAAAGCCAAGGTGACATTCATTTTACATACAGCACACAGTGAAAATTACATAATAATGACATTGGGCAAATGCATAAAGCGCAGCATAATTTAAAATCACGAGTTTAAAGTTTGTCGATCGCGCGTCTCCAGTGAAGCTGAACTCTCCTCCTATCAGCATTCAATTCACACGGATCGACTGTCATGCAGAGCATACACGATCATGCAGGATACACATGCACACTTCACAAGATCTCACAACTGGATCCGACTAAGTTTGCAAGGTTTTTGAAATTAGATGTTTATTAGACATTCAAAGATTTGTTTAAATGATATAAATGCTGACGGCAAACAAGAAAATATTATAATGTTTGCCTTTCTATTACTAATAATATAAAATCAATCGTTATAAAACTTTTTGTATACATTTTAATTCCTTTGTTTAACCGTTCTATCCGATTATTAGACAAACTTCTATCCGTATTTAGACAGAACTGTCAACGACAACAGCGAACAAGAGGGAGAATGTGAGCACTGTGTGCACCTCAGGCGCTGCCGTTCTCAGCGCCGTCAAAATAAAAGTCCCGCCTTGAACACATCGGACAAACAGAAAAACTTAACATTTAAAAAACTTCAAATATCGGTCGATATATCGGCCTTGGCGATATATCTGTCGACCACTAAAAAGGAGTTTGTTAGAGATAGACCTACAGTCTTTACAATGACATGCACTGTACAAAGGTCCTAAATCATGCAAATATATCGGCCTTGGCGATATATCGGTCGACCAC